TAAATACTGCCACATACCTCAATATCTTGCAGTTTCTCATGAGTTTTTAGAGGCGCCGCGGCTGAAGAATTTGGGGCAACTGAAACAGTTGAAGTGACTATGGCCATGGCCAAACAATGTCATGCCAAACGTATTTACTACCAGGCCTACACACCCTACCGCGGAAATGGCTAGGGGTTCATGGATAGCTATTTAAAATAGAATTTGCATTGGTCAATTAGTCTATGTACTTGGCAGTATCATTGATTTGAACCGTTTTTTTTTACGTCCACGACTGTGGTCGACCGACGTAAAATCTGCCTTAGGCCTGTGAAGGCACTGAACGAGTTTCACACCATATTGTGCGGCTTTGTTTGGTTCGCACGTATACACCATGGAAACATTGGAACATATGAGACGTTTTCAAAGGTTTTTAACAGCTCTGGCAAGGGCAGGTAACAATGTAATTGCGGATGCTATACATAGCAGAAAGACCGTATATATACGTAGACATCTAACCTAGTACGCCGATACAAGTTTTTATGAGTGACAATAGTCAGTAAATACTTACTCTCCTTGGTGATGATGTGCCCAGCAGCCTCAATGTACATAAGGAACGAGATAGCCATTAAAAACAAAGAATTGGCCAGAGCGCCAACGATTTGAAGCCGCGCCTGCAATGAGAATCCGAATGAATGGGATGAATTTTTAAGATAGCAACCCGACTGAATAATTACAACTATCCCCAACAATTCAAAGACATCGATCGAATGGACCTGTCTAAACATAATTTGAATCAATACAACATTTTCTCCCAAGCTGCATCGAAGCCGAGAGTGCGTGTATATCGACGATAGTAAGTGTATGAAGCCCTAGTGCGTGTATAAAACAGCACTTCTCAAAGGAGGTATACGTGTCCCGTGCAATTACATCGGATGGCAATTGTCTAAACAAGCCCTGTACCTATCTAAAAATAAATCATACATGTCTACTTGGTTCCTAAATAGTTTTCGACCAAGTAAATCAATGGCCATGGGCGTGTGCTAGAATCGTTTGAACAACTCTCCCTTGTACTCCTATAGCTATACTCGTAACTTTGAGGTCGAAACAATAAGACTAATCTCCATATACTGAAAGATAGCAAGGCTCCATAGCGGTTATTTGCTGATGTGTGTACCCTATGCATATATACGCCAACAAATTTACTCAGAACACACACTATGCACTTATTGTACACCTACCCATCCGTAGGTATACTCGTTGTTCGGGGGCGTATCGGAGAGACGAACAGTCATGAAACTGATAGCTAGTGCGGCCAGATCACTGGTCATGTGCAGAGAGTCTGCTAAGAGTACCAGACTGTTGAAGGTCACACCGCAGATGAGCTCAAGGACAGCGAACCCGCCAATGAGAACTGAGAACACCACCAGCTTTATAGACTTCCATTGTTTACTCCTGGTTGTGTTCAGAAATAAAAGATATATATATGTAATGAATAGCTATAAAGATGGAAAAGAATGCGGCGAAGAATATTTCGAAAAGAAGAATATAGCGTGCTAGCCGCATCTGCCGATATCAGTTCTTCAATATGGATCAAGGGAAAAGATCACAAAGTAATCAGGAATGCTCCAAAGTTTACCAACAATATTCCTATTTTAAAGAACGTTTACTCCCGGACTCAGATCAATTATCAAATGTGTGTATATAAATATAAAGGTATATATATCTATCTGGATATCTATCTATCTAACTAACTATATCTCTCTATATATACATATATATATTTATATTTATATATATATATATATATATATATATATATATATATATATATATATATATATATATATATATATATATATATATATATATATATATATATATATATATATATATATATATATATATATATATATATATATATATATATATATATATATATATATATATATATATATATATATATATATATATATATATATATATATAGTATATA